TAGATTCTTTTGGAGAGAGATTAGAGTGATGCTTTATAAAGCTTTCTTAGACTGTATCTGACAGGTAACCTCTCTAATACTATGAAACAAGGGATAATCACTTTCATCCCAAAACCTAATAAAGATGTGCAAATGCTGGATAACTGGAGACCCATCACTCTGCTATGCACAGATTATAAATTTTTAGCTCATGTTTATGCTGATTGGCTGAATAGAGGACTTAAAGATATAATTGATGAAAGTCAATCAGCCTTTGTTAAAGAGAGAAATATACACAATCATATTAGACTGGTCCTTGATATGCTGGATTATTATGACTGCCTTGATAATGATAGTCTGATCTTGTTTCTTGATTTTTACAAGGCATTCGACACAATTGAACACGCTTTTTTGTTAGAGACTTTAAGGTTTTGGGGTTTTGGTGATTAATTTTGTGCATTAATTAGGATGTTTTATAATGATATCTATAGCTCAGTCTCTTTAAATCCAGGACTTACTTCTAGATTTAAGATCCAGCGAGGCATCCATCAGGGTTGTCCTATCTCCCCAAAACTGTTTATCTTGACTATTCAATTACTAGCCCTTCAAATTAATAGCAATCTTGAGTTAAAGGGAATTAACGTTTTTGATAGAGAATACAAGATTAGCCAATTTGCCGATGACACAGCATGGTTTTAAAAAAAATGATTTAATGGTTGAAAGAGCCCTTAATACAATTTCATTATTCTCTAAGGCTTCAGGGCTAGGACTAAACATTAACAAATGTGAGATTCTTCCCATTCATAATTGTATTCATAAAAACATCCAGTCAATCAGAGTCGTAAATGAAGTTAAATATTTGGGTGTATTAGTATCTAAGAATGCAATTAGAAGGGAAGATGATAACATCTCAAACCGCTTAGTAGATATGAAACAAAGTCTTAGCCGTTGGTTGACAAGAGATCTGACTATTTTTGGAAGGAACCTGTTGACTAAAGCAGATGGCATTTCCAAGACTGTTTATCCATGTCATTCTATGTATATATCACCACAAAATATAAGAAAAACCAACTCCATTATCTTTCAGTTTTTGTGGAAAAATAAGACTCATTATGGTAAAAGGTCCCAACTAGTTAAAAAACATGAGAATGGTGGTATTAATGCATTAGACTTTGAAGCAATGGTTGGTACATTTAGGACTAAATGGTTAAAACATTTTTACAACAACAAAATTCAATGTGGTTTCACATCCCTGCCTCCATTTTTAAGCAGCTGGGAGGAATAGACTTCCTTGCAAAGTGTGACTTTGAAGTGACTAAGATTCCAGTTAAATCATCAAACTTCCACAAACAAGTTCTTCAGTTCTGGAAAATGATATTTCACCATAACTTCTCACCTCATGGATCAACTTTGTGGAATAACAGAGCAATCACAGTGGGCAGAAAGTCAATATTTAGAAAAGACTGGTATGAAAAAGGCATCATTTTTGTCAACGATATCTTGAATTGTAATGTAGATCTTTTAAATTTCTCATCTTTTGTTAGAAAATATAACCTTAGCTGCTGTCATAAAGATTTTATGAAGGTATGTAATGCAATCCCTTTAGCCTTGATTCAGTTCATTAAAAATATAATTTAATATATTCAAAGGTGACCGTTTCGATGCCCACGTTAATGACTGTAGTTTAGTTGATCTCAAATGTAAAAACAAGATTATCAATGAATGCATGCGACAAAAGATTTACTATGATCATAACAAAGATTCATTCAAGAAACCTCCCAATATAAATCATAAAACCATAATGACTTCTGCTTATTCAAAATTTGTCAAATGGCCTATATCTCCTAAAGTGAAAGAAAACAATTTTAAAATAATAAATAAGATATATCCAGTAGCCATGTTTCTTCACAGAAGATTTAAATTTGAGGTTGATTTGTGTGCCTTTTGTAAATCTGAAGATAATCTCTTGAACATTTGTTTTTTTTCATGTCAATACTCACAAAGTTTTTGGACTGACATTACAAACTGGATTAATCTAAAACTTAACTTTCGTTCTTTAAAAAACTGGGAAACTGCTAGAACCATCTCACAACAGATATCTAAAAACTTGTTGTTTTAAGTTTCTCATATTGTCTTGCTCCTTTTTGTTTCTTTTTTTCATATATTGTATTTTTTATATATGTATTTCTCAACTTTCATCATTTTGTAACACCCCCCCACCCCCCACCCCCTCGCTTGTAAAATGTAGTTTTGACACCCTTCACGAGAGTTTGTGTCTTTCTATTTTGTAGTGTTCTGTCGTTCTCTGTGTTTATTAATTTAAAAAAATAAAATAAAAATATAAAAAAAGAATGCAGCGGGGCTCCCAACTTAATGCTGTGCCTCTTTTAAATGTGCTGCTGTCTGACAGCTAAATAATATTTTATACATAGCCTGGTTGTGAGTGTCACTGCACGATCTGTTCCGAGACAAAAATGAATAAATAAATAAATAAATCTGTACTGGGACGGCGGGACCGAAAGCACGATCAGTACAGTGTGCTGGTAATCAGGGTGCTGGAGTGATGCACCCAGAATCGTCCTATCTCTTGTAATGAAGAGGAGCTAAGTGCACATGTGCAACTTTTCACGGGAGTCTATGGGCTAAGATTCTTGCGCCCCCATGGCGGAAATACGTCACCAATCAGAGAAAACGTTTTTGAAAGCAACAACTCAACTCATCATTATATATAAAATATTTATCTTCCACAGCTAATAAATATATATATATATATATATATATATATATATATATATATATATATAATGAAAAAAATTTATTATATTATTTCATTTTTATCAAATTTTTTAAATGGTGAGTGGTGTGAGTGGTGAGGCGGCGCCCTAGCGCCCCCTATTGAGCAGCCACCACTGGATCTTAAAAACATTTACAGTCCATGTTTCTGCCATTATTATTTAGTTTTGCTATTAAAAAAAGTTCCACAGTTGAATTTAACTGTCTTTTGCACAGAAATTAAATATGCTAATAGAAGTTTTGAAATTATCTAATAACTTATACAGGGTACTGTGACTACATAACTTCAACAGATTTCTGTTTTTTTCTTCTCATTCTGAAAACTAAATGACTTCAACCCAACATCTATGTTGTCCCAAATCATAACAGTAAGCAACTTTTAGATTTTATCCTCAAACTATTTCACGTGAATATTTAAACAGACTGTTGTTATGTAACATTGACAAAAAGCTAAAAGTGGATTGTAGTTAGCTGGAATTCAGAGTGAAATGAAATATTTAAAAGCACAACTTTTTGTCCTTCTTGTCAACTTGCATCACATCAAACTGACTTCCTGTTGATTTAGGAGCTTATCGTGTTTGCCTTGCAGTGATTAGTTTTTATGTTTTGTAATAAAGAAGCTGATAATAAGAATTTTTTTTGAATTATGAATTTGATTATAATCTGTTTGTGGAATAGATTTTTCATATTTAATGTCCCTGCAATATCGGGACATCAGAGTCTATCATCTTTTTCTGACTTTCTGTTTGTTTTACCCCACAACATCAGAAAAAGCAAAATAATGTTACCCTCATTCAGTCTTCTTACATTACTATTCAAAAGATCTAGCGCAAAACTTCACAATATTTTTTTTTTCTTCTTAGAAAACTCTGGCAGAGACAATTATTCAAGTTGTTGTGTCCAACGTTGGCTTGTTAGAATCTCATTAAATATGAAATCGTTCTGTTTTTCATGAAAGTTGTGTTTGCATGGCTTAATTCACAGCAAGTGCCTCCTCTGTAATGGGAAAGATAATAAACATTTAATATGTGAAAGTCTTAAAGGAAGAGAGGGTTTGTTAGACAAACTTGATCATTTGATACAAAATTGCCCCCTAGTGGAAAATGTTGATATTTCTACACATAAATGACTTCTCTCTTTGCACAAGGCCAAAATGACATTAAAGTTGGCAGACATTTGTAAAATGTAGCGCTGAGGTAAATTTTCCCATATTTTCTGATCATCAATGCATTTATTTTTCTAATGTTTAAAACTAAGGCTGTTCTTGATCACAGGCATTTCTCTTAATGTTCAATATCAAGGTGACTTTATAGAGGTAGAACAAAATTGTGTACTCAAGGTCCCAGTTACACCCCAAAGTAACAAAAATATAAAGTATAAAAATAAACAGTATAGAAGGATGTAAGGTATACACTAAAAAATAATAATGTAATATAGTACGCTGTATTAAACAGCAGCTTGAACATGAGTGTTGTGAGCAGATGGGTATGAATATAGCAGCTTAAGGTAAGAAATCAGCAGCATGGATAATCAGCAGCATGGATAATCAGCAGCGATAATTTTATTAATATATTTAATATAATTAAATGTTGTTAAATATATTACTGTAAAGGTGGAAACATGGAATTATTACTCCAAAGCAAGCTAGAAACAAAAGAATAATTGAAACAACACAAAGAATGTCCAGATCTCATGATTTTATTAACAAATTACTAAATGTAAAATAAACAGAACAATGAAATGAACATAAAAAAGAGGTAATCACATGGTCATCAAGGTTTCTACTCAATTCACAGAACTGAAAAGTCTCCTTAGATCAGAAGCTAAATGACTTGCCGTCATAAAAATTGAGTTTCCTTGGATTTAACTTGCTTAAATTAGCCATGGCATGAATCTGCAAAAGCACAATTCATGAAAAACAACTAATAAAAACAATAAAAAATAAAATTGCATAACATGACACATTATTACTGTAAAGGAAAAAACATACAAAATCTTGTTCCACTTAGAAACATGTCAAATTCAATATATTTGCTTCCTTTAAAAAAAATAACCTTAAATATTAGTGCTTGTTCCTGACTTGAGGTATGACCCCCTAAAATGTGATTACAATTAATCCTGCCAACCGCACAACCCCTGATCCAGCTCAAGATTTAATTTGTATGTGCAAAAGTGCTAATAATTGTAGAAGTATTTCAAAATATTTTATCAGGTTGTGGTAAATGGTTTCATTTATCATCATTCTGCACGGGCCTCAGGATAACTTCTCTTCTGTAGGAGAAGTGGGTGAGTTTGATCCGATTGATTTTGTCTCTGCGTTGCAGCAGACGGTAAAGAGAAACAGTGAACTTAGCCAACACCAGCGTGCAAGAGATCTGCACCACGAGCAGTGCAATGTAGACCATCATCCAGAGTTTGCACGCCTGAACTTTTGCACAAATCAGATGAATGTAGGAAGAACGGGGTGGAGGTCGGGTTGTCCTGGGAGTGGTGGTTGTGAGTAAAGCTGTTGTAGATGTTGTAGTTATTATTGTGGTTGGTATTGTAGTTGAAAGTGTGGTTGTTTTTATAGTCGGTAAAGTAGTTTGAACTGTGGTTGTTGGTGTTGTAGTTGTTTGTGTGGTTGTAGTTGGTATTGTAGTTGTGAGTGGGGTCGTTGTAGTTGCAATTGTTGTCATGAGTGGGGTCGTTGTAGTTG